ATATATATATATATATATATATATATATATAAATCTTAGTACAGTATCCCACATCATCAGCAAATGATGTGCAGGGAACTGCTCAATTCAGTCTTTCCCACATTGATTGTGGGTTAGCAAATTTTGTTGTCAATCACTATGTACTTCATTAGAAAAAGGATGTTAAAATTTCTCTTCTGAAATGTTGTTGATTGGAGAAAGATAAATAGATTTCAGAACAGATCCAAATACTATTTTTCTCCTTTAACTGTTCTCAAAAAAGATAGCCTATATTATTCTGATGTTAATTTATTTCATTCTAATTCAGGACTGTGGTTCTCTAATTCAGCCAAAGGAGCCCTGTGGATTGAAGCCTCTGTCTCCTGAGTACTTTTCAGCAATTTCACAGACACAACTTAAGACTTGTGAAACTGGGGACCCAAAAGGTTTGTTTTTAGTATGTTCTTTTACCTTTGAAAACAACCACAAGCAGCCTGGTAAAAAGAAAACAGAACATCTCCTTCTATGCAGGCATGCAAACACATACTAGTGAAATTATAATAACTATTATAGCTGTTGCATCCTATTTTATTTACATTTTTATTAATAAAATAAAACATTGTGCATTTATATAGTAATATTTTAGTTTAATCATTTTTGTGGCAAATTACACACAAATGATTTATTTGCTACTGTATGGGTCATTGTTATAAGTAGAGTTCATTGCAAATTTCTCACCCAAAATATTTTTATTGAAATTTACTTTTTTTATTTAAGAAAATGTTCATTTTCTTTAAATTAATTTTGTTTTCTGAAAAAACTAAAAATAGTTTTAAAATATATATATAGATTTGATCAATCTGAGTTTTATGTTTCTATTTCATATCTTGAATATATACACAAAAGTAAACCAACATTTAAAGAAACAAGGAAACAACCTAGAATACAATTGTTTTATATAAACTGGTGCAGAGAGGTCTAAATATCATAAGGCACAAAGCAGGAATAATGGTTGAAATATCTATATTTAAAATCATTAATATAGATGGAGCATGCTAATATGAGCAAGACCTGAAATTTTTTCATGTGTACTTTAACAAACATGGATGCTTATAATGACTACTCATGTACATGAAGTTGTACAGTGCTTAAGTCTTTTCAAGATCAGAACATAACTATGTCTTTATTATTTTTTATTTGACAAATGGAAAATAAAATCATATTACTGATGCAATGCAGTTTCTGCCTGAGGACAGATATATCCAGGGGGGCTATAGTGGTGCCATCGTGCACTTCTCTTCCCCACTCCTGCCCTCCCCCCTTACTCTCCCCCAGCTCCACTGCCTGCAGCAGCATTTCTATTCATGTAACAGTGAGGGGGTCAATTGGTAGTGGCTCATTATACCTGGTTCCTCCTAAACTCTCCATTCCATAGGTGTTAATGATCTCTTTAATAGTCTTTTATGGTTCCAGTAGTCAAGCCATCCTTTGTTCTGCAATTCTGCTGTTAGCTGCTCCTCATAATGAAGCCCTTATTCCACAGCCCTGCAGACTGCTTTTACTTTAGCTAGAAACATTAACTATGGTGTGGAAATAAATTTCAGTGAAGTAATGGACATGCTGTCAAGATGCTCAGGTAGGCTAGATCTTTGTTTTATGAATCTGAAAGAGATATATATTTGATTCTAGCGATTCTAGGACTAATGAAATGTCTTTCAGTTATTTTTGCCTATTGTGTTGTGTTTTTATACATAATATATGATATTGTAAATTCTAATATATTCCTAGGCCCCTAGCCTATTAGTAAAGTTTCTAGTTTCTTTTTAATTGGAGAAAAATTAAAATTGAGTTATGTCATAATGAACCACACAATCTACACCCCCCTTTTCAAAATCCTAGATCTGCTCGTGGATATGTCTACCAATGAAATAAAGCAACTTTTTATTGCAAAGAAGTTGCAGAAACCAGTGGAATATTCAATATGAAGATATGTGTTAACTGAATATATCACAATGTGTGATCTGTTATCACTATATCTAAAATATGTGGATACATTTTATTGTTACTGTGAACTAAATGAAGGGGGCATACAAAGGAGGGATTGATGTGTCTACTGAAACATTTTTGCCATGTAGCAGTTTACACAAAAAGCATAATTCAGCTCATAAATCGAGACGTAACTCAAAAGTGTGAGTTGTCCCACAATGACTCCTCCAGTAGTTTGTCTCCCCTGAGATACAACATGGATATTTTTGAATACTGTGTCTAGCTAAATAAAGTACAATATACAATAAAATGTTTAAAATTGAAACAGAATTTGGTATATAAGGAAAAAAGTGCAAACCTAAAAGAAGTGGAAGCATCCCTTCTCATTAACCCTGTAATCGTTGCCAGTAGGTTCTAAACAATAACATTCAGCCACAGAGCTGAGCTTGCAGCACTTAGAGGTTATGGTGCTGTGTGACTTTACCAGATCTGCAGCTCTCCTGTGAAATCTGAATTTTCATTTCTACTTAGGAGAACTTTTACAATTTTTACAGTCTCCTATGCCTGATGGAGGGTGCCTGTGCCCAAAAGCTTGCAAATAAAGAATATTTTTTGCAAATATCTAGTTGGCCTAATAAAAGATGTCACCTATGCCACGAGCTTTGATTCCTTGTAGCTGTGGTGCCTTTTTCCAAACTGACAGCTCTAAGTAGATAAATACTTTTTTTGCATGTAAATTTGTACCAAGTGTGTAATTGCCAACTGCCTGATCCTGGCAGAGATTGCTCTGCAGGCATATTTATTGGGAGCAAGCCTGAAGTCTTGACAAAGGCAATCACGATCCTTTGAAATCATTGGAACATTATTTCTATTTTTAAATATATAAAACATTTGAAGAAACAAACTGAAATCCTGACTCACCTTTAGATCCCTACAGAGGCAGGATGGTGTTATAATGCCATCTTTACACTTTACCAATATAGGAATACCATATTCTGTACTGTTAAGGTGAATGAGGGTATTGCAAAGCTGTCCCAGTGCCATAAAAGAACTTCCAGTAGTCAAATCAGCTCTGCTGGTAAAGGTACAGAGTAACTAGTGCTATAACTGTATCTATACCAGAGGTTTTATCTGGCTCAGTCATATTAATCAGAGAGCACACATCATCACATTCCTGTTGGATATATATTGATAGGAAAAGAATTTATAGTATAGATATGCTCATAGTCAGGAAGAAGGGATTGGGAATCAGAGATTTGTGATGAAATCTTGCATCTAGGGAGATTGCTGGAAAAAATTGAGTCTGCTATCTCAAAAGAGATGGGGGTCTGTTCCCTTGCTGTGCTCATAGGCAAGTCCTTTAGGGTCTGCTTTAAAGAAGTGCTAAGGCCCTTAGCTATTATTTGGTGGGAACTGAGGGGACTCAGCGCTATCCAGGAGATGCTGAGCACTTTCTAGGACAGAGACCTAATTTACTGTTTCTCATTTTGTTCCATTGATAAATGTGATGTATTAAAATTAGAACGGGGCATTTTCCTGAATTCTGTTTCAGCTTGGGATGAAAGGTTGAAAAAATAATAGCATTTATGAGAAAAAAATCTGTATTCCATTGACTGTTATAGCTTCTGAATCAGAAAATGTAGCTGTATATCCAGAACTACTGTTATTGTTGCTGATTTTGAGTGCCACTGCATGTTTAGCACTGTACAGTGTCCCGGGGGGATGAACCAAGCCCCAGTGTCACGATGGGCCAGGGTGGCAATTGAACACGAAAACAGGCGGGATTTTTGGCGATGGAGTACTGAGTGGCACGGAAGCATAATGGTTTCTTAAACAAGGTGGGTTTATTCGACTTACGCTTTTGTGGCGTAGGCAACGATCTTCAGTTACAGTGGATGGTAACACTGAATGTCGAAGTAAAGTTTTGATTGAATACTGCCAATGCAGAAAGAATTAAAGCTGACATGCGCAAGACAGGCTCATGGAATTTTCCACTGGGCTCACCCAGCATGTGTCCCCTGGGCGACCCCAAGAGCTGTCAGTCAGGCTGACCTACTTTTCAGCCCTGCGCATGCTTGGTAACAGTGGAGAGCTCAGGCTCACACATGCTCAGTCAGCTAAGAGCATGATGTCATTCGGCTAGAAAGTTCTTTGAGGGACACATTCTAATTGGCCACCAAATTGTTATAAAAGGTTAAGGAGCCC